TTTTTATCGAACTTAAAAAATAATTTTGATCAATTTTTAAGCCAATTCAGATAACTTTTGAGAAGCAAAATAGTAAATCTTTTTAAAAAGAATAGTTGAATTAAATAAGGCCTTAGCCCATTTTGTGCAAGTGGAACCCAAAATCCATTTAACAAAGTATGAGGGAATTTTACAAAAATATTGTCTGCCATGTAATAGATATGCCTTTCGTACTGAGACAATTTTGTGGAGCAGCGATGGAACTGTTTAACAATTAATAAGAGATTTTATATTCAAACTTTGAATATAAAAAAAAATTATTGAAAATTGCATATTCAAATGAGCCTTATAATGCGTGATCTAAATTTATTCAAAACTCCATTTCAAATTTTAAACATCAAACCGAAAGAGAAACTAAAATATACATTTATATACATGCGTCTCATTGAAAAAGATATTTCTTTTTCACCTATGAGAAAGAAAAATAAATAAAAGATGTTTTTGTAAAAGTTGAAGGCTGAAGTGAAAAGTTATTCAAGAATGGCCTACGGTGATTCATGCATATTTCATGTTGATAAATAATTTTCAAGGCGCAATCAATGGATAGTTATCAAAAGTTGCTATACATCAACTTTTTACGTAGATATTTTAATTAGATTTTTATTATTTTAAATACGATATTTATATTATTTTAACATTTTTTCACAATCAGCTGTTGACCTCAAAATGTATATTTAACAAAATATGTCTAATTATTATTATTAAACGATCAATTATTATCATATCAATACAATTTAAAAGATAATGTCGGCGTGAACAATAGGCCATAAGCTTAGAAAGATAATAGGAGAGGTAGGGACTGGAAAATAGGGAGAAGAAGATAGAAAATAAAATAAACATGATGAATAAGCTATTCACCCGTCATCGATAAGTGTATCACACTCACTTTGGTACATCAACAAAAATAAGTCGAAATGACATAACGTGACATGACATAAGACGAAATAAAAAAATTTAGTTACTATTTGACCATAAATTTTAAAATATTGTTGGAAAATATTATTTGTGTTAAAATTTGGGTGAAATTTCATAATGTGTTTAGCCATACTATTTGAGAAACATATTTCATTTTTTTACGAAATATGATTTATATCCATAAGTTTTAAAAACTATCAAAACTAACTATAAATTTGTATTACAAGTCAATTTGATCTTCATTGTAACAAATAACAAGTAGTGCTCATGACACTTGAGCAATATGGTAGTTCGGAGTGAGTGCAACAAGGATCGTTAATTCCATACATTGTGAAGTAGATAAAGCATATGATTTTGTTACCATGAGCCCATTTTTCATCATTTTCATCAATAACAATATCATCACTTTCATATTAACTGAATATTTATCACTATTTTGGTGTTTACGTAAATAATTTATGTAACACACGCAATTACTATATAGAGGGTGTTGTTATAAAAGATAAAAATTTGATGTTAGAATTTAATTTT